TGATTTTAATGCCAGGAAAGTATTCAAGGCTACAGATGAAATAATGAAAACTGAATAAATAATGCACAATTTCCTACCATTTTGTTTGTAACTCTGGATTGTCTGTACTGTTCTTTTCTATTTTGTAAAAGGTTGTCTGTCTGTCAATGTTTCCCTCCTTGTATTTTTAAAATAAAAAAAAAAACAAACTATAAAGAGAACAACAAGAAGGTTCCAAGCAACCAAGAGAAGTAGTCTTCAGCAATAAAACCAGAAATTAAAAATCACAGGCTAGATAAATTCAAGAACTAATTTACAAAAAAATGTTAAAGTTGAAAAATGTACTTAGTCTAATCAGTAGGACAATGAAATATCTTCAGTAGGACACTGAAATATTTCAATGAAATATCTACCATCACGAGTTCAAGTGATGTGAGATCCTTTACTAATATACTTGAAATATTGGTTTTAAAAAGTAACTAGGAAAATATAAATTGATAAGGCCAACTAGAATAGGAGATTAACTCAGAATCATAGAAGATATAAAAAATTGTTTGCAAATAATTTTCTGTAATAAGGTGTCTGAGCCCAATTTTTATGGAAAAATTCCTTCAAAAGTTTAAAGAACACAAAAACTATATTAAATAAGGAGTCCCACAGCATAAATCCAAGATTAGTTTTCAAAGCCTAGCAGAATGTGTTCATGGGTGTACAAACACTTGCATTCTATAGAGCAAATTCTGAATGCAGGGAGAAACATTCTAAATAAAATGATAGGAAATCCAAAAAATCTATATGTTGAATAATTATATTATTAGGTCAAGTTGGGTTTATTCTATTAAAAATAGTAGTCTAGAGAGTATTTTTTACATTGATTGAAAATGCTGGCTCTAAATAATGCTGACAATAGAAAAAATTACGTGTGTGTGAGTGCATACTTTGTGTCTCTGCATGTCTATGTGTGTATAAGCATAGATTTCTGACTGAAAGAAAATGAACATAAACCATGCCGATTCCCCTGATTTCATCCTTGGATAGGCCACCTAAACAGAAAAGAAGCCAAAGGGACTAAGAGCATAGAAAAACAGAAAAGCCAGGGGGTGTTTAAGTTCCTTATATGAGGAAAAGCAGCTTAAATTTACAAGAAGGCTGATATACACAGAGACTTTTTTTTCCTTGGGCTACTTTCCTGTGTAATAAGGCTTTAGGAAGCTCTGTGCCACCTACACTTTTGTCCACTCAGAACACTTAAGCAGCTGGAGGTTGCTCAGGCAAGGTGGAGGTTGCTGGGGAGCACCAGTCAGTCTTTGGATGCCTAGTGCCATGGAGAGAGAGATATCAGGCCAAAGACTTACTGTAAAGAATTTCAACTGCTGCCTACATGCGGGCTATGTGGCAACTCTTGGCAAAAAAGAAATGCTCGATGTGGAGGTAGAGAAAACCTTTCCTGAAGAGGAGGGCTGCTTGGTTGGGTTAAGAGAGAGTGGTTGAATCCAGGTATACTAGAGCCTGTCTGCTTTGTGGTGCATTGTCCACCCCTTAGATTATAGCAGGTGCCATTCTTTATGGCTTGGGCTTTGGTTTCATCTCTTAGGTGCAAAAAAGAGCAGCCAAGGCAGCAAGAGAGTCTTCATCCATGGGAAAAATCACATGACACAGAAAGGGTGATGAATGGACCAAAATGGAACATAAATTTAACATAGGCACAATAAAAAGTCTCAAAAATTAAGGCAAAATATAATACTGAAAGCACAGTACATGAAGAGGCAAGCTGTTCCACAGAAACAACTAGAGATGGTAAATAAAAATGAGTTAATATATAGAACCCAGGAGAAAGTCTGAATGTCAGCCAAGAGACTTTGTGCAGAGAATTCAATTATTTTATTAAAGGCCATGTATAGAGACTTGAATAATAGAAAGATATACCATGTTTCTGGATGATACATCCTAACATTTTTACTAAGTTAATTCTTTCCAAATGACTGTAAGTTAAATATAATCTGAAAAGAATAGTGGACAAATTAACATCTGGATAGAAAAACTATTTTACACGATGAAAAATTGAAAAAAAGGGCCAATAGGGCCAATGCACTGTTAAGAAAGGAGCAAAGACAGTGCTATCAGAGTAAGATTTTTAAAAAAACACACCACAAAGAAAGCCATAGAAAAAGCAAATATAATATCTATGCAGCGGTATATATCAGTGGAATCAAATCAAATAAAGAACCCTAAAACAAGTTTGTGGGAACGTGTGGAGAATTGAGTATAAGAATTGTTTGAGAAACAATCTTCTTGTGCCATAAATTTCCAGTTGAAGTAAAAATCTAAATGTGAAAGAATAAAGCTAGTAAGTGAAAATGTAAATGAATACCTTTGACATCTGAGGTAGGAGAAATCTCTTAAAACAGGTCTAGTCATCACAAACCATAAATAAAAATACTGGTGGGTTTTATAACACTAAAATAAGAATCTTGGGCATGTATTTGATGCCCCGTGATCTGTGGCATGAATGGGAAGCATATATGTATGGTGATAATCGACTGAGATTTGTGCACTGTTTCAGCAGCTGCATAACTACTCAGGATGACCAGCAAACCAGGATGGAAAGGGTTGGTCTGGCTACATCTGGTATTAATTGACTAGCAAGAGGCTGAGAACTCCGGCTTGCACAGCACTGTACATATGTAATAGTGAAATGCTGAATTGATATTTAGGATTTTAATTAAAATGGAGTGGACTGCTCTTCTAGAAATCCCAGGAAATATGAGAACTTTCTTTGTCCTGTTCTGTGTCACATACCAAAAGCCAGGTATAAATTCTGGACCCCAATTAAAAAACAAGCCAGAGGCCATTTCCACCATTGCCACTAGTATGCACAGCCCCTGCGAGCAGTCTCATCTGTTTGGTTCACTTTTGTTTCCCAGGTGTGCAGAGCTGTCTAACATGATGCCATTCAGCACCTGTAGCTTTTGGACACTTACAATATGATTAGTCTGAACTGAAGTGTGATGCAAAGCAAAATATATTCTGATTTGGGAGATTTGCTGCAAAAGGATCTACTAACATCATTTTTTCATGTGGCACTGGGATTAAGCCCAGGGCCTTCTCACTGAGCTACATCCCCAATCTTTTTTATTTTTTGAGACAAGATTTTGCTAAATTGCTAAGTTGCCAAGACAGGGCTTGAACTTGTGATCATCCTGCCTCAGCCTTCCAGGGTGGTGGGATTATAGGAGTGAGCACATACCTGAGCAGTACTATTTTTTATTACTTATGCAAATGAATTTCATTTTCTTTTTACTTTAATCAATGTGATGACTAGAAATTTTTAAGTTACAAATGTGGCTTGTATTATATTCTTACTGAACACCAAGTACTTGTCCAGAGCAATGATAATACATCATTAGCAACCTAAAGACATTGAATTAAGAATGAATGAGTGAATTAGTTCAAGTGAGTCATTTAACTAGCAAGTAGTTCATTTCCTACATTCACTGTCCTGTCTTATGTCCTTCCCTTAACTGAAAACATTCTATTAACTGAGGAAAGGGTGGCTTCAGTGGGAAGGGCTAAGCAAGCTCCCAAAGGAAGAGGAACAACGAACAGAACACTATCACTTGAAAACCGTCCATTTGTGGCACAGCTCCTGGGAGGCAACTTTCTCATTAAACTCACCCTACAGCTCCATGAAGGCTACTATTTCAGTTCATAGACGATGGCACCGAAGGGCACAGAGGCAAAGATCATTCTGCGAATGTGTGCGGAGGGAAGAAATCAGCCCGGCTTACTCTGGCCCAGCCAGACCTTCCCGTCAGCCTAATCTGACTGTGATCACCATCCTCACCTTCTGTGTTTTAGTGACGTGTGACCCGCAGGATGTGCCTTCGTGCCTCTGTGCCTTTGCTCATGCTGTTTCTCTGTCCAGAAGCACCCTCACCCTACTGCAACGCCACCTACTGAGTCAGGGTCTGAACTTTGAAATATTTCCATATTTATTTGTTTCTGGTCTATGTTCTTCCTAAGGTGTGAGTGGGTAGGTTTTCTACCTTCTTCATGGGGGAGACTTTAGCAAAAAACATTGAAATGCCTGGTGCACAGGCAGTGCTTAATAAGTAACTGCTACCTGGATTGATGAAGATCACCATCCCAATCAGAACTAACTGCTCCTTGGGTCTACTTTAACGGAATGCTTGCACTTCAAACAGTTCTCATTTCAATTTGCATCCTATTATAATTAGCTCTCTTTGCATGTCTCACCATCCCAAGCTTATAAATTCCTTGTAGATTGAATCAGATCTCGGTCAATTTTATATCTATTCCAAAGCCATTCTCAGTATTTTTCCATATAAAACTTATTTTTTCTCCCACTGCAGACTGTTAGCTGTGTAAACAAATTCTAGCACTACTTCCCATCATACTGTATTGATACACGCTTATCCATGTTTATAGCAGTACAATTCACAATAGCTAAGCTCTACAATCAGCCTAGAAGTGCATTAATGGAGAGATAAAGAAAATGTATACATCCACGGTGGAATATTATTCAGCCAAAAGAAGAATGAAATCATGTCATTTGAAGGAAAATGGATGCATCTTGAGACCATAATGTAATGTGAAATAAATTAGACACAGAAAGTTAAATACAGCATGGCTTCTTTTACATGAGAAACCCAAAATATAACTAAAATAAAGAGTAAAATAAAGGAGAGATGGTAAGAAATACAGAGGCAGACTTTTCTGGAGACCAGAAGGGTATCAGGAAAAAGAGGAGGGGGAAACAAGGTAAAAGGATCCAAAATGATCAATGCATATACCAATTCCCCCAGATGAATATAACTACTATGTAGTACAAACATACACTAATGAACAAAATAAACAAATACAACACAAACTTTATTCTGTCTGGCCAATGAAATGTACACCCAAGGTAGATTTCTCCAGAGGTTTTTCCTTTTCTGATCTAAAAGAGAAGAGGCTTGATTAGTCATGTCTATCCCTCTTTCTTCTTTTCTTGAATGCAGGTATAAAGCACTAAGCCAAAGCAGCCCATGATAAGACGGTAAACAAGAGGACATAAACCAACAACCCAAGATGGCAGAATACAGGAAGACAGTGATGACTTCACTGAGTAGCTGAGTTGAATCGGTAATTTCCTATCTCTAGACTTCTTGATATATGAAAAAACATGCTTTATTATTCGGTTTGGTCCATTTTGTTATAGTTTAGCCAAAATCATCCTTTACTTGTACAGCTGACATTTTTTTTTTTTTTTTTTTTTGGTTTTTCTCTGGTACCGGGAACCAAACTCACGACCTTGCGCTTGCCAGGCAGGCGCTTTTGCCGCTGAGCTAAATCCCCAGCCCCTAGCTGACATATTTATCTGGAACACATGTATGTGTTACACTCTTGTGTAGATTTTTGATAAACAATATATTGTTATAGAAAAGTAATCACTGCAAAAATTTGAAATATGAGGAGATGGGGTGCACAGAAGCTAAGACAGCACTCAGCCACATGCTGATAGGAAATGGTAGAGTTAAGAGTTAGAAACACATCACTCAAGATGCCAAGCTCCATGCTTGTGACCTGGTGAAGCTTCTTCATGATGGGGTATATATGCTTCTGTCAGAGCCCACATCCCTCTGGGGCTAGTTCATCACTGTCCCCTGCAGACCTCATTCTAGAAGAACACTTTCTCATGGTCTTAGCTGGAGTAGTCTTACATCCTAAGATGGTTTTGCAACCTGTTGGCAAAATACTTCAAAAGGCACTTAGTCATATCTCTCACAAGCACTCTTTGATCCTGGTTATTCTTCCAACCAGAGCGGGAAATATGCTTTGTGTGTGTGAGGAACACCAAGGAACTTAAGCATCAGTGACTGGAGTAGACTGAGAGGAGGAGGCGAAGGATAATGATAAGGTGACACATGCAGAATCAGGATCTTGCTAGACCTTAGAGACCTTGGGAAGGTCTTTGGTGTTATTCTCTGTGTGACCCTCACTGCCTGACATTGAGTGATTGATATTAAAAGGATTACACTACCTTGTATGTGGATAAAGAACTTTCTGTAGACGGATGTCTTAATGTGGGGCTATAGAAGTAAATGGTAAGAGATGAAATGTTCTTGACATATTTTGAAATTAGAGCCCAGAAGACTTCTTAGTGGGTTGGAGATTAGGTTTGAGGAAAAGGGAACAGTCAGGGATGGGTCCAAGGTTTTTGACTGGTATTGTTGCCATTGGTCATTTTTGAGAGGACATACGGTATAAAAAAGCATGTCTGCTGTGGAGAGGGATACGTGTTAGGCAACTGCTTTCCATAGGCTAATTTTGAGATGATTATCTGGTGACTGTGTAAGGATCTGGTGTAAAGAGAGTTCAAATTCCCAAAATGTATTGCCCCAAACAACACATTAAACAATATCTGTACACCTGAGTCCAGATGACAAGGTGTCAGAGAAAATTATGTGGAAACACATTCGAAGACAAGGACAATGATCTATTATGAATTACAATCAGACACCCTAAGATTTAGCTTTTTAATCTTAATTTCCTCACCAACACATCAGTGGGTTATCAAGAACGTAGTGGTGTTTGTTGGACCCCTCTTTCAACCTAAGTAATACACCAATTTAATGGAGACAAGAAAAAACCAATCTCCTTTATGATTTTCTCCAAAACAGACAAAAAATATACAGACACATATAAAGATCGCTGCCATGCAGGGCAGCATTGTAACAAGTGACAAAGGGCTTTAGACAACTGAGTGCCCCAAGTGATCCTGCTGCCCAGGTCTGAATTCTGGTTTTGAGGCCTCTTGGCTCTATTCGCCTCTTTGAAAATGGGAAATGTAGGCTGTTAAGGTCATTCAAAGAGATAATCCCCACAAATCTCTTAGGAAAGAGTTTGATACACAGTATCAGTGCGATGAATATCAGTGAGCTTTTTTCCTTAAATTCACACAAGTGTGCAATACAGACACACATAACCCACTGAGCACATTGTGTTCTCTCCCGTGCACTGACAAGCTCATGAACAAACACTGTACTAAATCTACATGTAGAACGCACATCCACACACAATTGTCCTTAAAACTTCTCATTCCTTCACTGCCCAGCTTGCCTGTCTTTGTACTTGAACACTCCTAAATGCTTTAGAAGAATGTAAGGATTTTCTTCTAAGACCTTGCTGTTTCTGTTGATGCCTGCCATGGCTCACAGCTGGCTGTCCTGAGAAGGAGTGACAAATACCCTTAGCAAATCACTTTCTCTAAAAATAGACCTTCCCAGATGATCTGTAGCTTTAATTTCTATGTCCATACACTTTTAAAAGAAAAAAATCCATTCTTTTAGAGACTTACTGCTAATCCATCATAAGCAATGTGACCCAGGGAACATGAAGAAATCTCTCTCAAGTTTGCAGAATGGCCTAGGGTTACCTCATCTGTTTATTGGATTTATATAAAACCAAAATTCAAGGCTGACAGATTTCACCAGGTAGTGCCAGTTGAATGCTCATTCTGTTTGGCTTTATGGAGCCATTTACCTGAAGTAGCTTGCTGGTAATTTAACGCGTGACTTGCCTTCTCTATTTCTTCTTCAGGATGCACATGGATGAATTTCGTGGATACAAGATACCTTTCAAGTCATAGAATCAGTGTAGAATCAGGTGAATTGTTTGAACCACTACAGGCAAATTAATCTTTTCATGATCATAATTTCCCAGCAGATCACTTGGCTCTCTGGGTCAAGGACCACTAAGTTCACAGCGTTCATACTGCTGGGATGCATGTTTGTGGAAAAAAAGAATCAACAACAGCAACAACAACAAAAATCAACAGCACCAAAATGGTATTGTTATATTGGGAACCTCAGTACTGTTAGTTGAATGACAACAAGGACTAAGTGTGAATTCTATTTACCTCCTTATGTTCCTTTTATGCACACATCAACTAGAGTCTTACTTGAATTACTATGCTTCACTAATTTGGATAAGGAAAGGAGCATTTGGTCAAGGTGTTAAACAAAGTCATTAACCAATCCTCTAAAATCTGTCACGGGTACACTTTCTCTGAATTTTCAAATTGAGTAACACTGAATCTAGAAGATTAAAAAAAATGTCAAACCTATGTGTTTATACTAGATTCTTTTCAGTATAATCAGGGATAATAGATTTAACAAATTTCATGCTTGTGAACTTGACATTATTCTGTAGCTGGCCAGAGGCTGCCCCTCTTGACATTGTCGCTTTTCTTAACAATATTATTGTTATCATCATGACCATTACTTCATTATCTCCAGCTAAAATATGTGAAGCAAGGGAACCATGATATTCACTGTGCACTGTGTTGGGTGCCACAATTAAAGGCTGATAGACACACTCATACAATCACTTAGATGCCTATAAATTCGAGCATTAGGAAATCCAGATTCAAGCCAGCTCAAGCAATAAGAAAATTGTCTCCTATAAGATGAGATTCTAATGTAGAGAGACTAGAGCTTAATACAGCATCAAAATGATACCTACGACACTGCAGACTGAGTTTCTAGGCGCTGGGAGGCCCAGGGGACGGGCGGGGCGAGCAGGCCCTCGGAGC